TCCGCGAGAATATGCAATATTATTGAGGGCCGCACGGTCCTTTGTGAGGGACTGCACAGCCCCTAGGTACCTTCCGCTGAGGGAAGTACCCCAAACTCGGGTAATTGAACCATCGATGACACCTCTGCCATACAGAGTCTCACCGTTGCTCGGTGTAGGCCCAAAACTGCGTAAAAAGAGGGAGCGCCTGCTGAAAATTTGACAAGAGCTTGCTCAAAGAGATTATTTGACGAGCGCCTGCAGAAAATTTTGCTGCTCGCTGGCAGAACACGGAAGTACCGCTCGCTGGCCACGCCCCAAAATTTTGCTGACTTGCTGACTTGCAGAAAAGCGCGAATTTGAGGGGCCAAACTTTCAGCAAGCCTTCGGACTCTTTTTACGCGGTTTTGGGCGTGCGCCTAGCAAAGCTAACACTCTACATAACAGGGATGTCATCATACCCTCGATACATAGAGCCACGCACTCTTCAACCTTCACATTGAGGAGCTATGAGGGGACGCAACCTTCACCTGTGGCCGTATTCATCAACGAACCCTGGGGGGTAAACTAATCCTGGAGGGTAAGTTTAACCCTCAGGGTTCATTGGCCGTATTCATCAACATAGGGTAGAGTTTTACCACGGAACGCGATCCACCCCTATCGATCAACGAACCTGTGACCGTATTCATTCAACGAACCCTGAGGGTTAAACTAACCCTGGAGGGTTAAGGCGTTAGTTACGCGTGCGCTGTGCAAACTCACATCACAGAATGCCTAAGTACGAGCTAAATCCACTTTATACTTCCTTTCCTTCTATTATAGTAGTATAATCAACGAATAAGCTTCTGACACTGGTTTTTATAAAACATCTCTAGCATATTTGTGCAGCATCCCATCTTACAGCGTGAGTTTATTTTCATGTGTGCACTTGTGCCGTGTAAGTTCTACTTTTGCGCAGTTCGTTTTGTACCGGGCCTGTGCTACTTTTTTAAGGGTCAGTGCGTGTTATCATAAAGGAATTCTTCTGTTTTGGCACTTGTCAGGGTGGAATGCGCAATTATTTTTCCTCATTGCATTCATTTGTCACCAAAGCTAGAATTCTTTTTCTAGCGAAGTCGTGTGTTTCATGTACTTTGAACAATTTGAATACTTTGAACATAAAACGAAGTCGAAACTAATACTACAACGACAACTTACTAAATACTACAACACTCGTTGATCGTTTTCATAAAACTATTAGATGCGAGTAAATGTTTGTTTGAAGTGTTAGGGTAGAGTTAGCTTTGCTCTAAGCTAGGGTTAAAATAACCCTGATGAATCACGTAAGTTTTACCCTCCAGGGTTAGTTCAACCCTCAGCGTTCGTTGATGAATACGGGTTAATCGCTTTCGGTGTAAGGTTTACCCTCAAGGGTAGATTTAACCCTCAGGGTTAAGCCTACCCTGTGTTTCATGAATACGGGTTAATCGCTTTTTAGGGTTAAACTAACCCTCCAGGGTTACTTTAACCCTCAGGGTTTGTTGATGAATACGGCCACTGGAGGAAAACGGAGTTCAAGGGTTGTTTACGTGTTTTTGTGTGTGCGTGGGTGTCTGTCCGTTACGAAATTCGTAGAGCGAGTTCCAGCCAACCTCTTGAGCCCAAAGTTTGCACGGCGCATGCTAGCAGCATGGAAGTCCGCTATGCAAAAGCACGAGTGGATCCGTGAGTGGATCCCTCAAAAGTTGGGCTTCAAACGGATTCACTTGGCTTCTGGACAGCAACTTTGGGCCTATATAACCACTTTTTGCAAAGTCATGGATATGATTAACAAGCTGATGTGCAAACCATGGACTTTACCCCAGAATTGATCTAAAGTTGATTACTTTACGAAAATGGCGCTGAAAAAAGTTAGCGTAAATGTTCAATTTGCCAAGATTTTACCTAGTCATTTGAGAAGATTTTTGCACAGAGATGTAGCCCCGGTTATTATTGTTCTTATGGCAACTACAAAACAATAGAAAATGCAAGAACCTAATTGTGATAATTGTTGTTATGGCGGCTACCAGGCCAGAAAATGTCCAAAAATCGATTTTCGCATTAATTCTTCTCGAAAAAGTTTCATCCACGCAAAAATATCAACCTCACACAAAAAAGCCCTCAGAATGAGTAGTTTTTTTTACAAATCGTTCGTGATAGCTGGCATAGCGCGGTGAATTTCAGTGTCATTATTATGCGGGAATGAGTAAGGCATACAGAAATTGAGGCCAGTGCGAGCCTCTGCGAAGCAGAGGTGACGCACTGGTAGGGAATAATATCTTTAGGTTATCTCAGCGAAACCGAGGATTTGCGTTTCCATAGCTTTTCTTACGTTAAAAAGAAGGTTTCTGTGAATTTTCGCCAGAATTCAAGACAAAATTTCTCAATCAAATTCTTACTTGACCAGAATCGAGTTTCAGAAGTTTAGGAAAGCTGTTGGAGTTAAATAAAAACGAGAAATTGCGCTTAAATATTGCGCAGAGAGTCGCGCACGAAAACGCTGGTCTATCTCGTTAATGAGTGATTTTCTAAGCTTGGGACGTTGTCAGTTCTCCTCGTCGTGCCATGACGATCAGAATGATAAATAATGTTACAAGGTTTTATTGAGACCCCGCGGAGATCTACGACCAGAGCCAAATGCCCCGTCGGTTCTGGTCTGTCTCCGCTGCTCGTCTGCGTCTCCGCGCGCTGCGCGCTACCTCGCTACACCAAACGCGGTGCGCGGGGCATTTGGCTCTGGTGTCCTTTTCTTCGCTGTTTCGAACCCAATTTAAGCAAGCTATATATCTTTTGAAGCTCTTGATCTCTATTATCACGCTGACAACGTCCCAAAACTACATTTTCTGAGTTGATTGAGAAATCCGGCAAAACCTTGTTTTTGGAAATCTCTTGTTTTTCTCCTAATTTAACTCTTTTCACGCGGTTTTTCCGTGCATTCTATAGACCTTGCTTTTGTTCAAAATGCAGCAACCACCCAGCCCTTATCTCTTCGGTTATGGTGGAATTTTTTGCGGAAAATCGTAAAATTGCGTTTTTCTTTATTTTGTTCTGTTTCAGTGCTTTCGCAGCGATTTTTTTCCAGCTTGGGCGATTGTTGCTCAGAACAATAAGGGCAACACTCCAGACAACGTCCCAGGAAACGGGAATGTCAATGAGGGGGTAAAAATTTAAAGGACGATCAAAAATTAAATTTGGCTTCGCCGTTCTTTTCGACTTAGTAAAAAAGGAATCTTTGCGTTTCCATAACTAATTTCTTTCTTGTTTATCTTCTTCTTGATGACCACTCCTTCCTGAACATGTTTTTTGAAGGAATGCAAAAAAAGAAACTAGCTTTTCTCCGCTTTCCCCCGTGTGGCGAATTGCTGGTCCTGGAGCGAAAACTTGCACCTTGAAAAGCCTCCAAATGAAAGTTTCCAAACCTCATTGCAGTGTTTTCATCCGGTATTTAGTAGCTTCTTTTGCTTTCTATATCTCTTTTACGTCATTTTACCTTCACTGATCTTCTTTGAACAACCTTTACTTTTTATGAGGTCATATGTTCAAACAACCTTCACTTTTGACGTCCTGTCTCTAGACTATCGAAGGTATGGGTGTCATTGGTTCAATTGCGGGACCCATCCTAAAACACTCGCGAGTTACGGTCACGGCGTAGGGAGAATTGTTCGAGGATGGATCTTTCAGTCGTGAATCATTTGCGCTGTCTTTTGAGCAGTGCACTAGCGGACCCCCTCATCATTTCGAGGCAGAGAAACCAATGCTCAAACAACCTTCTTTTTTAAGGCCCTATTTCTGTACTATCAGGTATGCCCACCTAATCTATATGTGCTAGAGCGAAAAAGCTCGTCTGGAAAGCCTAAATTTTACTCCGAAGGTTCCCGAACCCACCCCCTCGCTGCGGACCTCTCCTGCTCAATGTAAATGCTGTTTAGGAATTGTGGATCTTGACAGCTTCGAAAAAAGCTCATTTTTACTGTTTTCATGTGGTGCAGAAATGAGTTGCGAGAAGGTTCCGAGAATTCAAAGGCGAAATTTTGACCTTTCTGCATATTTTAGGCCTTCTCGTCGCGTAAAATCCAATCCGAGATTCGAGTCGGGTGAAACGACCGTTATCGGGCGTTTATACATCTTTTAAAAAGCAAGTTCGGTGAGAGTTTACATGGAAAGTCGAAGGCATTGGTACAAAAATCTGCCGCCTGCAATTCATGCACTGAATGTCATGCACAGTGCAGCGGCCGCGGTGGTCCCCGACAGAATAGGTGAACGGGATCATCTGGACGCCGATTCGAGGGCAGCTTTCTCGGGTTAAAGGTAACACATAGAAATTGATTTTCGGGACCTAATTATGAAAAAGCGATTGTGCAACTCGCGGTTGACATATCCGTTTCCAAAACAATACCGCTACCGTATCTGGCGTACAACTTGCACCAGGATGTAGTTGTATGCCATTGCGTGGGGACTTACCGTCCTTCAGAAAGGTATTCGCGAAGAAGGCTGCAAACCGACCTCCCATGAATATGATGCTGGACACGCCCTCAAAAACGCATGAAAATGTGTTTTGGAACGCACAACTTCTGGTTTAGCTACTTCTTGAATACGGATATGGGTACGCTAGCCTAGTAAAACTCCTTTGTGAATTCTTGTTTGGCGACATTTTGTGAGTTAACCCGCCGAGGGGTGTGTGACGTTTCGCACGACCGTAATGCTTTCCACACAGGACCATCGCCGCGCGCGACACACCCTGCGGCGGCTTTTGCCTAAGCAAAACACGGGGAGGAAAGATTTGCGGCGTGCATTACATGTTAAGACAAGTCAGAATCAGGGAGACGCTGAAAACCGCCCGTGCAAAAAGACCGTCTCCCCCCGCCGAGCGCTAGGCTCCCATCGGATTCGCTATCAGCTTTGGATTGCGTTACTGTGAGCTTAGCTAGTAGAGGCTGCCACTGAGTTTTGTTGGCGAGTACGGCCAATGGTCTGGAAATTTTGATAAGAGTGCATTGTTGAAGGTCTCGGCAATAATTGACGTCGATATCGTTCCGGAAGCTCATCGTCGCGTGAGGCTGTGTAAGCACGGATCGGACCGCCCCCTCGGATTCTACATCAGGTTTGAGATTTTGATTGGGGGTGTTAGTGTTAAGGCAATATTACTACGTAACATAGAATGGAAACTTGTTTACCACTCAGTTCCCCAGATCCGTGGATCGGGGCAAATGAGGAAACAGCAGACAAATAATTATGAAATCTACTTATCTTTGTCTTAAGATTGCTGTCTCTCGATGAAATATACTAAACTCTTTTTGGTTTTTTCCCAGTGTGACGTGTCTTTGTATAATCTTATATATAAAGCTGAATGTTTGTCTGTCTGTATGTCTGTCTGTATGTCTGTCTGTCTTCTGTACGTATGTTCCGAATAGAAAATTCCATTTCTGAACCGATCGGGACCAAACTTGGCACACATACACTTCGGGCCCCGGCGGGTGTCATAGACTACTTTTCGTATCGATCGATATCGATTTTATCGATTTTTTTGCAAAATTTGAGCTACGGGGCTGGGAGTTGGCACAGGGGGGTAAGTGAGCATGGGGATTCCGAGTACAATATTAGTTTTTGAAATCGTGCATTACTTACATCGATTTTATCGATTTTTTTTGCAAAGTTTGAGCTACGCGGCTGGGGTTTGGCACAGGGGGGTAATCGAGCATGCTGATCACCCCCGTGGGGGTGATCAGCATGCTCGATTACCCCCATGCTCGATTACACCCCTCTGCCAAATTCCAGCCCCCTAGCTCAAATTTTGCAAAAAATCGATAAAATCGACACCGATCGATAACGAAAAGTGGACTGTGACACCCGCCGGGGCCCGAAGGGTATGTGTGCCAAGTTTGGTCCGGATCGGTTAAGAAATGGAATTTTCTATTCGGAACATACTTCGGAGCCGGGTAAGCCAGCTAGTGATGAAATATTTTGATCGCGTGCGACTTCTTGTGAAGATGCTAAATTACATAAGATCGTAAGCCAAGTTTCGTAAGTTTTTGGGACAATTCCAAGTTTCATAAGATCGTATGCCATATTCCGTGCGATCAATTGCGCGTGTTTTCCAGTCTGATCAACATAAGCCAGTCAGTCTATCATTAGTTTTGGGCTTCCTGGCATTGTGCCAGTTTGCGTTCTTATGTGGGTGCGTCCTTGCCGTTCGTAAACATGCTGTAGTGTTTTCATCAGGTTCTCATTTCCTACTCAAGTTTCACTATCATTGAGTCCAAATACCATAGTTATTCACGGCGTCAAAATGTAATAATCAAGCGGTGACTGGCGAGAGAAATTCACATTGATATTGATTTGTAAGCTGTAACGTAGAGCGATTGAGAAAATATTGTTTATGTTTGATGCCGAAAATCTTCAAGGGGCAAAATTCAAAAATTGAAAGTGAGTTTCTGTGGAGTGTTCAGTTTCTTGCTGTAAATAACGGTCTGTAGCGGCACTTAGGATATTTTGAGAAATCCTCTCAGGATTGGAGCATTAATTTGGATTTCAAAGGCAGTGTCCAGGCAAATCTGGTCGCTTGGCTCTTTCGCCTGAAAATTGATCAGAAGGTGCTAACTAAGGCACTGCCCAAGGGGCAACGCAAATTGTTCAGTCACGGCTGAGAAATCCGTCCCCGAAAACCCCGTGCCTGCGCCGTGACCGTAACCCAAAAGCGACTTCGTTCACTTCAACACTACGTTCGCGCTGTGAACAGTCTTCAGTGTTACGGTCACGGCGCAGCAGCGGAGTGTGTGTGGATGGATTTCTCAGCTGTGAATGCATTATTTGCTCTGCGGTTTGGGCAGTGCCTTAGCTAGAACCTCCTCGACTTCCAGGCAAAAACTCATATTGAGGTACTTTTCGTGCATAAGAGTACTAGTGACTAAACTGCATCATGATCCCATAGTTTTCTATGGGATCATGATGCAGTTTCTTTTCGGGAATGACGGTCTGTAAGCGGAACCTAGCAGGGAATTGTCACAATTTAACCAAGCCATGCCAGGCATGCTGTATATCATCGGACTCGTCTTGAAACGCTAATCACAAATATACGTTGATTATGTGCCAAGCGGCTATCTAGGAGTAATTACGAGTGTTTAAATGTGCGATTTGTCAAGTGTTCAGTGGCCCATGTTCCACGAAATATGTTTCAAAAACTTACTTTGTGTTTCTTCCTTGTAATCAAAATAACCATATCCACTGTAAATCCGCGTCATACATTCGTCGAAACTCGAAAAAATTTCTTGTATTTGAACGCTCACAACTCCTCCCAGATAGTCGCTTGGCAGCAAAAAACATATTTTTGAAATCAGCGTTTTAAAGCGAGTCCGATGATATGTTGCTGCTTGGAATGGCTGGGAGTTTTGACCATTTTCTTGTTAGCATTTTGAGAGATTTTCCTACGATTAACGACTCATTTGGCGCATTGAAAGTGATTTACTCCTAGAATGGAGGACATCTTTTTTGTGAATAATGGTTTGCAAGCGGCACGTAGCTTTCAAGAAAATCTCCGGGGATCAAAATACATTTAGAGCAATAAGAGTAAGTTTTTTGAGGACCTCAAAGCGTGGACGTGCTATACGCAGCACTCAGGGCAAATAGTAATTTGAGAGGTGAAACTTTTTTTGGTAGAAGGTTGGGATTGTTTGGCTCTAAAAACATCTTTTGAGAGGGGATTTCAGGAAAAATCGATCGGTCATTTTTATGTTGTTCAAATTTCGCCAAATGCTATGTGATTGCCATTTGAATGTAATATTCAGCTCATAACGTTCGGCCGAGAATGGTCGCATAACGTAAAATACCAAGATATTCTACGAAACCCTTCTTGAGATTGAGGAAAATCTCGTACCTGTTATCCAAATCTGGCCAGCAAAGCTCCATTACCGAAAATTTATTTTTGTGTAGTAGCTCTGAATGATCTTTTTTTTATGAAATGTCAAAAAACATGTTTAGAGATTTTTTGCGAGTTTTGAACAATTGATCAGAACCATTGGAGGTTTCAAGAAAGAAAGCGATTGGTTAAGCATATTTGCCATTAGTTTGTGTAACAAGTCGAACGTTAGTTTTTGTAACCTTCATGAGGAGTCTCTCGAGGAAAGAATACCTTATTTGCCATTACTATTCAAGTGTTCTGTGCAGCTTATCCAAATAGATCAGCGGTGTCAAAATATTAATACATTGTTCATACAAAATCCAAAGAAACTATTAAAATCCTTTACACTACCCTAATTTTACGCGTATAAGGCGTGGGGGATTTTTTTCCAAAATCGACCAGCCCAGACACGCCAAAGGACTTTACAGCCAAAGGACCCTATAACGTGAGTGGCTGAGTGGCTCGCTTGAAAATTCGAAAAAGTGCGCCTTATACACGTGAAATTAGGGTAATAACTTAACATACACTAATAAGACAAATTATTATACTATATTAGGCTGGACTACATACCAAAGGACTTTACAACCAAAGGGCCCTATAACGTGCTGTATATTGCTTGAGAGAATCGTGCGATGTAAGGATTTCTTTCCTGGATGCAGTGAACCGGCTGAGTGACTCGCTTGAAAATTCGAAAAAGTGCGCCTTATACGCGTGAAATTAGGGTAATAACTTAACATACACTAATAAGACAAATTATTATACTATATTAGGCTGGACTACATACCAGAGGACTTTACAACCAAAGGGCCCTATAACGTGCTGTATATTGCTTGAGAGAATCGTGCGATGTAAGGATTTCTTTCCTGGATGCAGTGAACCGGCTGAGTGACTCGCTTGAAAATTCGAAAAAGTGCGCCTTATACGCGTGAAATTAGGGTAATAACTTAACATACACTAATAAAACAAATTACTATACTATATTGGGCTAGACTACATACTAGGAAACGGTTTTTGTAAATTCAGTTCAAGGAATACTACAGGGAAGAAAAATTTCAATCCTCTCTCAGCTGATCTAACATTACCTTGGTTTGAATGTAAATATTCAAGCCAAAACAAGGTTTTTCATATCAGTAATATGATTGCGCTAGGTGGCTTACCCGCCTCCGCCCAGCCCTGTCAAGACGCTATGATAAAGGTCCCATCCCTATTCCTGTACAACCTTTCCCTGTGCCCATTTCTACATCCCAGTTCCCTATTTACGATGTGTTAGTAATCAGCATGCTCACTACCCCCCCCCCCCCCACTCCGCTGTGCCAACTCCCAGCCCTGAGCTCAAACTTTGCAGAAAAATCGATGTCGATAAAACTATGGATAATTCCAAAAACTAAGGTTGTATTCGTAATCAGCATGCTCGATTACCCCTGCCCCCTGTGCCAACTCCCAGCCCCGTACTCAGACTTTGCAAAAAAAAATAGATAAAATCGATAGAAGTAACGGATAAATTCAAAAACTAATATTGTCGTAATCGCATGCTCGATTACCCCCTCCCCTGTGCCAACTTCCAGTCCTGCATGTCAGACTTTGCAAAATATCGATAAAACTCGATATAATCGATATTGATCGAAAACGAAAAGTAGCCTATGACATCCGGCTCGCTCAGAAGTGTGTGTGTCAAGTTTGGTTCGCTAACGGTTCGAAAACAAAAATTTGTAATCGGAACATATGTACATACAGATAGACAAGCAGACATTCAGCTTTATATATGAGATTTGGTTATCGATGATTTGTTGATTATACATAATTTACAAGACCTAACTCTTACTGACGTAAGTAAAAAGTTTATAATAACAAACTCGAATTCGAATCTACGTATTCAAATGGAAACACTTGCAATCACCTAAACTTACATATATCTATATAAGCGCAAGAGATGACTCACGCATGTAATCCCCCCCCCCCCCTCCGCAGGCGAGTTGAGGATGTAAACAACTCGGTCGTTATGTGCCGGTGCAGATGCACCGACCTGTGGCTCATGATGGTAATGGCGCGGAGCAACCAAAGGCCTAGCGGCCAGTGTTCGCAGGACATAATTATAGGCGCGAGCCCTGCGCCGGAGATTTGGCCAGGATCCAAGACAACTTGGCAGGAATCCAGAAATTTCTTAAGGAAAATATTCCTCGTCACTCTGGGGAAAAGGCTAGAGAAAC